TCCAAATACATCATTAGCAGTAGTGGGGAGAGGTCATTGAAATATCAAATTTGATGCTGACCACATGGTTTAGAGGGTTAAGAGGTTGTAGATTGCTACAACCTATCATTGTATTGTTATAGGGTGTATCGTTATGCTAGGAGAGGACTGTGCTACATGACAAAACTCATAATTTGTAACAACTTCAGCACATATACATGTACTTTTACACATTGATTGTACATGGTTGCATGAGTTAGCCAAGCAATGTCGATTTAATGTGATTCATACCTTTTCTGAAAGCCCTCCTGCTTTCTGGTTGAAATGCTTCATATTTGATAAGCACACAACTTCTTGCGGTTACTTCAACACCTCCTGCAGCTCTTGTGATGGTGGTGCCATTCGTGAACTTATTGAAATACTGCTTCTTGTCACTGGTATCTCCAATAGACAGGGTGCGTATTTCTTGACGCATCCTGTCCTCTGGAGGGTGTGTCCCACCAAATTGCTTTATTAGTGGCAGCAGCCATTTTAAGGTCACAGCCACCCCACTGTACATGCCCCGTTCAGTGTTAGCCTTCATCCAGAATGACACAGCTGGATTTATACAAGTCAGCATCTTCACAAAAACATGAAAGAAGAGAAATACAACAATTAAATTGATGCAGTTGGGCATTAGGCATGTTAAATAAAGTTTATCAAGTTATTGGTTAATTAGGGCTACATGGTCAGGGTGTAAGTGACATTTCTTTTAGCTTTATTGTCTCTTTCAGTTCCTTCCCCCCGGTGGTATAAAGTCATTTTATTTAAGAAGGTTGCACTTCCTTTAATTTATGCCGTCCCTTCAAACAACACCCCATGGACCTGATAAGCTTGTCTCTGACTCGTCCTATCCCCTTGCTTGAAACCAAATTTGGTAATTATTAATAGTCAGGGTGCATTAACAGTAGTTAACACATCAAGATTAATACATCATTCTGAACATCAGCGATCTAAAACCGTGAAATTCTGATATTAAATCCACATTTTATTATAGTTTCTATGCTTATACTTAGTTATGCAGTTAGTGAGTAAATTATTTCAAACAGTAATATTGGTTAAACCTAAATGCTCACCATTAATTGAGCAAAGACTTAAATGGTAAATTAATGTAACAAGTCCTGGGCGTATATAATTATATTTGTTCAAAAGGGTTTTTTGGTAGGATTTTTTTTGGTGGAATTACGGTATATAGTGGGTGCCTTTTGTGGAAAGTAAATTTGCTTTTTAACAATGTTCCTGAATGACTGTTTTAAAATTTTCATTGGTGCATGTATTAACTCTCTAAACATAACAAAATGAAGCACAAAATTCTAAAAGATAAACAGTCATTAAATGAACATCAATAAGTCTGTGAGCATACTCTTGTGCAGTGACACAAAATACAAAACAAGCTCCACAATAGGATGCAAAATATAATCATGACAATATATATTTAGTCAAAATATACTGGATTGGGGGAAATTATTAAATCTGAATTGTACCGTATAGAAAGCTAAATACATGTGGATGTAATGTTTTAATGGAAAGCTAATGAATGATTTACCTACCTGTTGAATTGGTATTTTGTATTCCGTGATACACTTCATGAGGAGATTGGGGATAAGAGGTTCCCCAGATTCTGGTGCGCCTAGTTCCAAGTTTGTAAAATCTACTTGGTACTCCATCACACTTGAAAAGACCTTCTTTTTAAAGAAGGTGGTTGCCAGTTCTGGAGCAAGTCCCTCTAATTCTGCCATTTCAATGACCTTAAAAACATTATTAACAGCATTTTATTTTCTCTGTTCTTTTATATTTTAATTCCTGATTTTTTACTAACTTATAATTTGCTAAGTGACAACAAGGACTGGTAACTGTGTCCTTTAATTTTATTTAGCCAATCAAAATAGTTTTGATTTCTTTTTTTTGGGAGTATTATTTCTGGCAATAATTGTTAATGATTTGTTAATGACCCCAAGAGCCCTGATCGAGTCAGTTATAATAACTAAACATGACAACTGAGAATTGATGTCATGACAGATACCGGTAATCAATTTCAATTAAAGTATATATACTTGGAACCATAGTAAGCCCTGTTCTTAATCAATAAACCAGACGAATTACTGAAACACTTACTTTTTCAGCAATGCTGATTAAAAGTCCATAATTTTTAAGAAACCTGTCGTCTAATTCAGGAAGGGATTGAGCCAGGATTGAAGCGATTCCGTGGGTCCTTGTCTTTAGAATGTGGTCCAGTTGCTGGCTGACACCAACAATCATCCCTATTGCACTTGATGCCCTACTGAAAACCTCCTCGCGGTTAATTTTGGCCCTTTGCTGGGCATCAAGTCCATACGGACGTCTTCTTCCCTCCAAAAAGGGAATTAATACGAAGCGTCCAAACACACTGAAAAGAAAGAAAAGAATTCTTAATGTGACATTCCCGATTTAAAATAGTTGCATAAATTTTGATGCTCAATAAGCTAGCACAATGGCACTTCATAATTGAAGGCTAAGTGGGAGCATGAGGGATTGACTGAAAGAACTTGTCATTTGTGATCATCTGAATCTGGTAGAGGCATTAATTTTGTGTCAGTGTTTACGTCATGCTATAAGGACATGATTGTTGTGTTTCAAAAATGTCCTACAAAAAGTTAGTGACAGCTCATTAACAAACAAGACCTAAAATTTATAGTTGCTTAATTACTTGTGGAAATTATGTTGACATTATGTTCCTTAACTGAGTGTGCCTGACATTGGGTATTGTGATTAACTGTTGCTTTTTTGCTCAAAAGTTAAAATTCAGCTTGATAAATCATGTTTTAAGCTGTGATTAAATTGTCTGAAGGCTAAAATTAAAATGGGGTCAAACTCGCTTTACATGACAAAACAAGATGGTCAGTTGATGTCTTTTTATTTGTTAAAGTATTTTTTGGAGTCATAAAATACAAGTAAGAAGCGATTTTTCTAACCATTTAACTATAAAAAATTGCCATAAAATATTTCTAAGCACATTGAGAAAGTTAAAAATTTTGTTAAAAAACGACGACGTTTCGACGTTGAGCTAACGTCATTATCAAGTCAAAGTGATAGTAGATAAAAAATGTATAAATCATAGTCAGTAAAACAATAGTTCAATGGATGTGTTAAAATGTTTGAAATTAAACAAAGAGTTTCGCACGGATGGAGTCAGTTTGCGTGTTCAAGCTTGGATTCCGTTCCTTTATGCAAAACATCTCAAAGACGAGGCAATCAAATTTCCCTTGGCACTTTCGGAGAATTCGAAACTGG